TTAATTATACTCTTAAATTGATAATTTAATCTTATCTCATTTGCGGATATTCCGACAACTCTTTAAAGATTAGAAATTTTGAAATATTCTGCTAAAAGCGTGTTTCCTTCATCGAAGAAGGATCTTTTCCGAAAATTGAAAAGCTCTGAATTAAAGGATATCCTCGCGCATCCCGTCGTTACGGATGCACCAAGTGCATAATTGACTCGCAATTTATGTCCCGAGCAACCGCATGTGGGTGGCCGTGCGACGACCGTATCGCTCGTTTCTCCTTTTCCTCTACCTCTTCCGCCTGTTCGGTTTATTTGCTCGCGTTTGTCGGCAAGGTGGTCCCACGTGAAACAGTACCGCGAATATACACGCGTCGCCGTACAACACGACCTCAATCCTATCTGTATTTGGAGATAGATCGTGCCTGTGGACTCGCAATGACGCAAGGACTGTTTTTCGTGCCGAATTCTGCCGATTCGTTACAAAACTTTGCTAAACAACACATTGTGAAATGTGCTAATACGTGACAAAATATGGTCGGTTTCAGCACGGAGATCTTCATGTATCAACTACGTATCACACTTTCGCATGTCGTAAATTATATCTATACTCCGCGTGGGAGATTTAACCCTCCAGAGCTGACGTTTATTAGACCCACTAAACTATAAATCTCTTCGTCATAATATTAAACAGTTTTCTTTATGTTACGTCTACAAAGGCTCCTGCACTAATTATATGAAAATTGAATGAAACGTGTTAGTTTTCACATATATGATAACTTGTAACGTGGTGAATAAAAGATGTCAGATACAAGGTTCAATGATGAATAGTTTTTGAGCTATAATGCATCAAAGATGTTTGTGCATAATACATAAGCACATGTCTTAAACCTTTGATGCCGTTACTCAAAAACCATATATTATTAAGTCTTCTTATATTATTAACTCTGTATGTACGCATCTTTTGTTCGTCGTTATAAGCTACGTTATATGCGAAAATTAATTAACTCATTTCACCGGGATCCAATTTCTATACAATTAGTAGAGGAAGGTCACCGATCGACATATCACTTTGTTTTTAGACAATATTTCTTAAACAAAAGGTAAAAATACAACTTCAAAAACATAAATACAGAGTAAAAAGTGTCTTCTATCAGATAGTATAAGCAATTTTTATAATATTGTTTGCAATTTTGCAATAATTAAGTTTTTCGTAAGTTATGCAAAATTGAGCGTCTGACAAAATGGGCTCCAAAACTGACATAGTAGGCAATAAT